CCCCCCCCTCCCTCCCCCATTGTTCCCGACAAACCCAAACCCGAACCCACCATACCCCCGGGCTCCGCCGCCGAGCAGAAGAAAGGCTCAGCCTTCACCGCGCTCTGTCTGTTTGTCTGTCCGTCGGTCGTTCAGCTCCGACCCTTCCACGCTCAGGCGCGCTCCGTGCGCGCTCCCCCCGCCGCCCCGCAGCCCCTTTTATCGCGCGGCCGCCGCGGCGATTGGTTCCCTGCGCGGTGCGGCTCCGAGCGCCGCTCCTTTGTGTGCAGCCGCCTCTCCCTTATCCGGCGGCCCCCGGCCCCAAAACCGCACCGCCGCCCCCGCCCCGTCCTCAACCTCCCCCCCGCATTTCGCCGTGGATGCGGTGCTGAGCTCGAGGCCACGAAGGCAGCGGGATGCGGATCCCCCCGGGCTTCGCACGGCCGCCCCTCAGCGAGAGGAGCGGCGATGGTGGATGGGGTTTTGTTGGGGTCGGGGTTTTGTTGGGGTCGGGGTTTCGCCTGAAGAGGGCGAAGGGCGGCACTGGGCAAAGCGGGGGGAGCGGAGCAGGTCGGGTGCGCGGCCCCGTGCTCCTCCTGGCCGCGTGAGCGCGCAGAGCGCGGGGATCGACCCCGGTGCAACGCATCCTTGCAAAGCGTCGGGCTGCAGAACTGGCGGCGGTGTTCACCAGGAGGGGACGTGCGGCTTATCGGTGCCGTCGCTGCGTGGCCGTGCAGCACCTGCAGCGTTGAGGCTTCGCTGCAAATGGAAGAGGGGAGCTCGCCGGGCCGGGCTGCAGCAGCGCGCCTGGCTTGCGGAGAGCGGCATCCGCACACGAGCAAACATGCGTGCACGCTGACACTCGTGTGCGTGCCGGCACTACCGTGAAAGTGCATGGTGCGTGCATGCCGACGTGCTCGTGCGCCTGGACGCTCGTGTGCTCACACGTGCACGCAGCGCACACGCGTGCGCGCTCAGCTGTGTGCACACGCATGCTCGCGCACTCACGGAATGCATGCTGAAGTGCTCGTGCACATGCAAATGCATGCATGCGCGTGCATGTGGGGCTCGCGCGCGCTCACACACACACACACACACACACACACACCGGTGCACGCGCACCCCAAGCGGTTGCTATGGCGACGCGCACCCCAGCGGCCGAGGGAGCGGCTCCTCCTCTCTGCGCCCTCCCCGCCTGCAGGGGGCGCCCTTCCCCGCCCTGCCCCCAGGAGCCGCCGCTCCTGAGTCCTCCCGGCCAGCAGGGGGCGCTGAGCTGCGCCGAGCCGCTTTAGGGCCGCTCTGTCCGGCGGCCGCGGCGCAAGATGGCGGAGGAGGGCTCGGTGTGCAGCTTCGTCTTCAAGAAAAGGGGTCTGGCGGCGGGTAGAGGCCGGCGGAAGCGGCCCAGCAGCGACCAGGAGCAGGGTGAGAGCTTGTAGGGGCTGCCGGCGGTGACGTGCGCTGTGGCGGCCTGTTACGATGCCCGGGGGAGGCGAGGGAAGGCCTGGGCCGCACTGCATCTCAGCCAGGCCCGGCGCTGGGCTGTGTGGGTGAGGGACGATGTGGCGGCCGGGCCTCCGTGCCGGGGTGCCGTTCGTTATCCTCCCGCAGAGCCGCGGGGATCCGCTGCCCGCTCAGCCCCGCGGTTCGGCCCCTTAAGCCCCGCGCTGTGCCCCGCAGAGAGCAGCGGTGAGGAGGGCAGCACGGTGGTGCGGAAGGAGCGGCGGCGGGAGACCCCCAACCCCATGATCCAGAAGGTGAGGAGCCCGCGGGGCGCTGCGCTGGCCGGGGCTGTGTGGGGCCCATCCATCCCTGCAGCCGCTGTCTGTCTGTCTGTCTGTGTGCCCTTCAGACCAGGAGGTGCACGAAGGAGCGGCCCTCGTACGCGCTGAGCAGCAGCGATGAGGATGATCCATCGAAGGAGATCGGAGTCACGTACAAATCAACAAGGTCGGCGGTAAGGACTGAGCACGGGGTGAAGTCGGGGGGGGGGCTGGCTGATCCCATACTCCATAATCTGCTTCTGCAGATGTGGAGTCAGCTCGTCTCAGTTTTGATCTGTAGATGTCTGTCCCTTCCTTCCTAACATGCAAGCATTTTGTGCTAGGTTTATTCTTCTGTTATTCTGCATCCTCAGGAGTTCAACTAGGAATTCAGAGGGCTGGAGCACCTCTCCTATGAGGAAAGGTTGAGGGAACTGGGCTTGTTTAGCTTGGAGAAGAGAAGGCTGTGGGGAAACCTCATTGTGGCCTTCCAGGGAGTGTATAAACAGGAGGTGGAACAGCTGTTTATGAGGGTTGATAGTGATAGGACAAGGGGGAATGGTTTTACAGTAGAGGTTTAGGTTGGATATGAGGAGGAAGTTTTTCACACAGAGGGTGGTGAGGCACTGGAACAGGTTGCCCAAGGAGGCTGTGGATGCTCCATCCCTGCAGGCATTCAAGGCCAGGCTGGATGTGGCTCTGGTCTGCTGGTTGGCACATAGCAGGGGGTTGGAACCAGATGATCACTGTGGTCCTTTTCAATCCAGGCCATTCTATGATTCTGTGAATTAAGGTTGGTCTTTCCCTCTTAGAAGTGGGAATTAAAACCCCAAGGTGTGACTGGGCTTGCCTGACATCACAGAGTTTTCAGGAGAAGGAGCACCAGAATCAGATTTGCTCAATTACTGAGGCCATATTTTCAGTTTTATAGCACCTTCCTCCATAAGGTATTCATGTAACATAGAATGTACTCCCATCTTGTGAGTAGTAATAGGGTAAAAGCTCTAGAGGGAGGTCACTGTTTTCTTAGGATTGAGGGATAGGGAAACCTGAGGGTCTTGTTAACAGTTGGAGTGGAGAGAAATCACTGTTGAAGTTTTGGACACAGCTAAAAAATACTCTTCCCATTGGGCTTTTCTCAAGCTCTCCTCTTCATCCAGTGAAATTGTGTCCATCACTAAGACTCTCATCAAGATTTGTGTAGAATTAAAAGCACATACCAGCATTTGCTGTGTTGATGCTTTTTATTCCTTCCCAGACTTGCTTCCTTACTCTCTGAGTCTCCATTTTTTTCTGTATAAAATGGGAATAGTGGCCAGTTATCCTCAGTCAAAGATGCAAGGTCAGACTAAGGTCTCATTATCACATTAATTATGATTAATTTGAAGACTCATGCTGTAATGAGGAAGCCAAGGCAGGGCAGCATGTTCTTAGGAGGAGGTGGAGGCTTTGGGGTTCCAGAAGCTTTTGTTGTGTAAGTTGGATTTGTTTTTAATTTGAGGCTGGTTATAATTATTCTTTGGCTTCTGTGCAGTTAAAGAGCTGACAAAACCTAGGAATAGGTGTCTGTTCACTATATTCAAGAGGAACCAAAACCAGATCACTGAATTAAAACTGTGTGCAGGCTGCTGGGTTAAAAGTTAGATGTAACATCCTGTGTGTGGGCTGGGTGGTCTCATGACTGAAGCATTGAACATGGGAGACCTGAGATCAGTTTCCAGCTTAAACAAGATGAAGCTTGAAGGAGTAAAGTGGGGACCAATGTGTCCTGACTTTGCAAGCTAAAACCTGGGAGCAATCAGTAATTAGCATCCTGTCTTCCACAAGCACTAGGCTGGATTCATGCCAGCAGGTGCTAAGAGAAGTTAGAAATTGCTGGAGGGTGAAGCAGGCCATGCCCAGCACTTGTTCAGTCGCTGACCCACCAATGCCCAGGGGCTTTCTCTCTTTCTTTTTACTGTTGTCACAAGTTGTTCTTGCTTTTCAGAAACCTGTTGGCCCAGAAGACATGGGGGCCACAGCAGTGTATGAACTGGACACAGAGAAGGATAAAGATGCCCAGGCCATCTTCGAGCGCAGCCAGAAAATCCAGGAGGTCAGTCAGCCTCACCTTCATGAGTTAATGCTGTGCAGGAGGAGTGAGTGTGCATAACTCATCCCCTTTTGCATGCCAAGAGTTCAAGTCTTTTCTTCCCCATTAATTTGAGAGGCCAAAAGTGTTGCCTGTGTAAATGGGGGAACTTCCTGGCGTTATTGATTTCTTGGTATTGAGGGAGGTTGGTATTGGAGAGATAAAAGCTACTTTGTGACATGAAGCTCTTCTGACCCTTAATTGCCTTTCTTTTTTCTTTTCTAGGAACTGAGAGGAAAAGAAGATGATAAAATTTACCGTGGTATTAACAACTACCAGAAGTACGTGAAGCCCAAAGACACATCAATGGGAAATGCCTCTTCAGGAATGGTCAGGTAGGTTGGGACGAGCCTGCGATGGGAGGAACCACAGAGAATTTCAGGCATTGTCCCCAAAGGCACTTCTCTGGGGCCAAAAGGTTGCTGTTTTTGCTAACTTGTTCCTATCTAATGAGTCCGGTGTCTGGTTTTGGCCAAGTCCCAGGGCCCTTCTCCACTGCGGTGACACAGCTGGCCTGAGCCTTCTCCCACCCTTTCAGAAAAGGACCCATCCGTGCTCCAGAGCACTTGCGGGCCACAGTGCGGTGGGATTACCAGCCAGACATCTGTAAGGACTACAAAGAAACAGGGTTCTGCGGCTTTGGAGGTGAGTGGGTATTGCCTGCAGGTGAGCACGTGCTGCACCTGATCTGCAGAGGGATCCAGTCCAGATGGACAGCCCCAAGTTTGTGGCACTAAGATGCACAGTTACTAATTCACAGGCCCCTGTTTGCAGAGTTTGTATTTCCTCACCTGAGGTTATGTGGGGGGTGGGATTTCCTCTTCCTTATCCCACTTCCATGTGGGTGAATGCTGGAGCTCTTGCTGTGGCATCCAGAGCATGATGCTTATGGCCTGTTGATCCTGAGAGGGAAGTATGGCCTGCCCGGTCCTGCCCTGGAATGCAGGTGCATGGAGAAGCAATCAGGTTTCACCTTGTGCTGGGCAAATCTCAGGCTGCCTCTGGATGAGGTGTCCTGTAAACAGCTGGGCAATGAGGGAAGATTGTTCATCTCTTCTCCTTTATGCTTTTCAGACAGCTGCAAATTCCTCCATGACCGCTCAGACTACAAACACGGCTGGCAGATAGAACGGGAACTGGATGAAGGCCGCTATGGAGTCAATGGTACAGCACAGCCCCTCTGCTCTCCTGCTCCCTGAGCTAATGGTGTACGAGGCCACAAGGTCCTGCCTTCTCCCATGTTGTAGACTGAATGTGACTTACAGACTTTGCTGTCTCAAACTGCACAAGCAATGGGTTGATTAGATGCAAAGAATTCCTCATTCCACAAAGCTATGGAACTCCCTGCTGTGGAATTACCTTAGCACCAGTAACCACTGCCAGTGCTGTGCAAATCTGCTGCGTTCAGATTACCACTGACTGCTACCAGAGAGGATTATTTGCTCTGTCTATACAGAATATACCAGTCTGCTATTGTATGAATCCCAGCAGTAAACAGTGTGGAGCTGGGGAGGTAGATAGAACCATTTCCTGCAGCACAGATGTCCAGGAGCTAGAATGCTTTCATGCTTTGTCACATCAATATTTCTCACTCAGAATCCATATCTGTGGCCCAAGGATGCAGCTGAGTGTTGCTTATGAACCCCTGCGCAGTTGCAGGAAAGGGGATGTTCTCTGAGTTGGAGCTGAAGAGTTTAATAGCAGCTGTTTTGGAAAAAAATGTGAAAAATTGGGGACTGGAGGATCTGTCTGTTTATAGCAACAAGTGGGTGTCACAGAAAATGTGCTCCTGTGAAGTGAGCAACAAGCACATTGGCTCATTAGACCTAATTATATCTCAATCCCACATGTTACTGACATCAATGACACCCAGATGCTAGAACTCTATTGTTTCCAGCAGAGATTGAATCCCACCTGCTGTACTTTCTCCATGTTCCATATTTCATGCCCTGTGCATCTGCTGGCCTGTCTGCTTCTGCTCTTGTTCAAGTCTGGTTAACTTTCTCTTGTGCAGATGAAGAAAACTATGAGGTGAGCAGTGATGAGGAGGATATGCCTTTCAAATGCTTCATCTGCAGAAGTTCCTTCAAGAACCCCGTGGTCACCAAGTAAGTGAGGGAGCCAAACATCTGTGGTGGGTTGAGTCCTCTAGTCAGTCAGTCATTCACTGTGGTAGCAAACACTGTCATTGTCTGCATTCTGGTGTGTGGAGCATGCTTGTTTGCTTTTCTGGTGGGGAAAGCCTCTGCTATCCAGGGAGTCTCCTAACTACATCTCAAGCATCTTCTTGGTAGGGATCTCAAGCCTTTGTTGTCCAAGCACCTTTTAGATTTCCATAGACGCTGCCTGATCGCATTGCCTTGCAGCAGCCACTCTGCTGCAGGTGCCTGCTATCTCTGTGCTTTCCCCCGGGAATACCACAACTATACCATCAACTATAGCACTTGTACCTGTGCTGTCTCTGGGAGAGCTGGCTGATGGCTGCGTGCAGACATTCAGCATCAGTGAAGCAATGCTGAAACAGCTTTTATGAGTACAGCAGAGAACACAGGGCTGATGCTGCATAGGGAACTGTGCATCCAGCTTGCTTTTGCATCCCTCAGGGCTCAGTAGTCAATTATTTCTAACTCCTGGATGCAGCAGTTGTATGTGGTGACTGGCATTGCCATCTGTTTCTCCATACAGGTGTAGGCATTACTTCTGTGAGAGTTGTGCCCTCCAGCACTATCGCAAATCCCAGCGCTGTTACGTGTGTGACAAGCAGACCAATGGAGTCTTCAACCCAGCAAAAGGTAACGGCCACGTGTGGGAAAGAGGGCTGCTGATGTATGCTCACGGTGTTTGGCCTGGTTGAAAGTTGTAGCTCACAGGCAGAACTTCTCTCAGTGCCCGGAGACACCACATCAGGACCTGGGTGCCTCCACAGGTGTAAAAAGTGCATTTGTGTTTGCCCAGATGAGGAACTTGGGGAGTCTGATTTCTGATGAGGGTAATGGGAGTGCAGACAGTAGCTTTTCTGATACTGTTGTTTGCAGGTCAGTAATCTACTGATAGGGCCTGATATGGTAGGACCTGAAGCCTTGGGCTCAGTGTACGGTGGTAGGTCCTGGCTTAGTTTTTGTGTAGGGAAGTGACTTTTGGTAGGTGCTTCAGTTCTTGGAGAGAGCTGTGTTTGCAGGTCTTGGAGATCCAGCTTTGCTGTTGGACATCCCCCAGACCTGGAGTCTCACTGTGCTTCTTCCTGCTTTTCAGAGCTCATGGCAAAATTGGAAAAACACAAAGGGGAAGAGGAGGAGGGGGAGTCAGACCACTCAGACCATGGAGAAGACCCGCACTAGCAAAGCACTCTGTTTTGTACGGAACCGAATAAAGTTTTCATGGGAAGAATGCACTGTGATCACAGCACCTTTGGGCAGCAGCTGCAGCCATTGGTTTTTCATCCAACCAGGGGTTGTTAAAATGGGGGCACAAGTGGTGCCAGTCTTCATTTGCTGCTCTGTGAAGGCACAGGACGGAATGGGTAAGCTGAGAGTTGTCCTCTGTGCCATCAGTAGGACCACACAAGGGTCTGGGGAGGGAGGGGTTGAACTCTGTTCAGTTACTTTTGACAATGTGTCACCATTTATTTTACTCCTAATGTGGTAGTTATCCTGCCAGCTAGCTCTGGAAGCATAAAAAGCTATCCTGAAGTTACAGGGAGCAATCTCTATCCTAAAATTTAAGTCCATAAAATATGATCACATCGAATGCTGAAAGCATGGAGAGAAATGAAAACTAGTCGCTTGCACCAAGTTTATCTGTCATTCTGGAAATGCTGTTTGGAAAGTAAGCCAGACTTCTGCAGTTAGTTGTGATTTATTACAGCTCAGAGGAGCATATTTCCTCCTGTCTGTTCTGCTGCCTCTTGGTTTCTAGAAGTCAAGGGCTAAAAGTCACGTCAAGTAGGCTTTAGAACTTCAGTGGGTGATGCGAAATCACCCCTTGGGGATGAAGCCAGCAGCTGCAGCACATGCCAAACACAGTCCCCAAGCTTTTATGCTGTCAGTGGTACTTCTCTTTATTATTTTTCCCTTGCTGCAAGTACCAGTTAACCATCTCTGTCCAGACTTGGGAGATGGGGATAAGAATTTTTGGCACTTCTCTGTCACTCTGCAGAAACAGCAGGCTTACAAACTTCAGAAATATTTTATTTGTTTTGGCAAAAAACTAGAGTAACAAACTTTATCTGGGTTCAAGTAGTTTACAAACACAAGAAGGACCTGTTCTCAGCACCATTCTCCCATCAACCACACTTACAGAACTGGAGTCTCAGTGCTTCATTTGAGAATGGAAAGAGCTCCAGCACCCACGGTCCTTGGAAAGGTCAAACTGAAAGCCTTAAACACACCTCCAAAACCAAATGCTGTGGGCTAGGGGAGAGCTGCCACAAGCAGGGATCAAGGGAAGCTGTGTGAAACACAAGCAAAGGATTTTTTTCAAGTCTGTCAGTCATTCAGGGATGATGGTATAGCAATGGTAATAGAGGGTTTAAGATCATTCTGTACATAACATTCAAAGAAGTGTTCTGAGTAAGAGGATTCTGTGTGAAAATTACTTTTCCTTCATGCCAAGTCACTGAGAACAGGCTGGTATGAATATTTCATGCTGTGAAAGCAGCCCAGCTAACAGAAGGCTGAGCTGGATGTACTCTGGGAGGTTAGAAAAGCTGGTACATGCACAGAATTACACACTAGAATTTGATGACCCAGGCAGCCATGGGAGGAGAGTGGGGATGCCATCTGACCTGGAGCTCAGAGCACACAGCACACAACATCAGCTGAGAGGAGTCTTAAAAGCTCCCTCCAGAAACTGGAGCACAGCTCAGTACTGCAGAGGAATGCCCAGTGCAGTGAATGTGCCACAACAGCATCAGGTTATCTTCTGTTTCTTGTTTTCCCCCATAAAGAAGTGACCAAGCTTAAGAACACACTCCTTTCCTCACCCTCAGAAGTTATCCAATAACAACACTGTAACATAAGTCTGACTAGCTCTAAGAAAATGCCCAAAACTAAGAACTGCTTTCCTCCCCTTCTTAACTCTAAGGCACCCTTTAAAAAAATAAAAAAATAGAATCATGCAGCCTTCACCTGTGATACAAGGAAGCCAATTGTTTTTAGAAACCCAGGAAAGGAGACCATAACTGAACAGATTCACTCAATCCATTGTAGCATTCTCCTGGTGCTCAGCTGAAAAAACTGGGGTATGGGGCACTGCACCAACCAGAATACTCCACAGCTCTGGTCTGTCCATTTGTTTCCACGCTTGTTTCCAAGTAAACAGGCAGCTGATGTTCCTTCCCAAGGACCTGTAAACTCTTCCATGTGTAACATTCATCACTTTTTATGAACAGGAACAATAAATTACAATGTCCAGAAAGCTCCTCCAGAACCAAATATAGTCTCTGTTTTTCTAGAATTCCCAGTCATCCACATCCAGCTGCTCCAAGTTTGACACCAACCCAAAAATGCCACTAGGATCCTGGGGCCGAGTTCCTTCAAAGTTGGTGATGGGTGTGACAGGGCGCAGCAGTTCAGGGAGTGCTTCAGAAGCACGGCGCTTGATCTGCATGGAGAAAAGAGCTCAGCTCTGAAATGCTTCTTCACATAGGAAGGCAGCAAGTAAAACAAACATCCTTCTGTCTGCACTGAAAGATGCACAATCTGCATCTTGTAACAGGTCCACTCCAGTAACACTTGCGTGATTCTGAGGGTAAGAGAAGCTGAAGTGTTGCAGGGGAGGGAGCTGCTGGAAGAGCCACATCACGCTCCCAGAGAACAGCCCTCCCACTTCCTAGAGAATGCAAGGCTCACTAACCTGCACTGCTGCTAATCACCAAGCTAAATTGATCCTTTCAGGTCTCAGAAAATTCAGCAGCTCAAAATTCCCACCCTCAGCTTTGGGGACACTGTAAGGTAATGACTAAAGAAAAGCCACTGTTCTGTATCTATGCATTAAATGATGATCTCCTTACCTGCTTGAAAAAGGGATGATTAAGCAGAGCACCTGCACTTGGCCTGCAGAAGGAAGTTCAAATAAAACAAGAGAAGAAAACAAGTCAGTACACTGATCTTTCAAGATGCCCATGTAGTTCTGTCAGCAGTTCACCATCACAACCCCATCCCACCCACCCCCTCCCTTGCACCAGCTCTGGCACCCAGACTCTGTGAAGATTCAACACACTAACCCAGCAGAAAACATGCTCTTAGCAGCTGATGGGGTGGTCTGAGGAGCACAAGGAGCAGTGTAAGGACAAGACAGGACCCCCCCACTCTACTTCCCAAAGGAGGTTGCGAATTGTGGCTATGAACTTTTAAGGAAAGTGCCTCAAGACATTAACACTGCTTTTGTTGTGCATACTTGACATGCTCTTCTCAACACACAAAGCACATCCTCACTCAGCTGTGGTTTTGAAAAAACTGCAAACAACCTTCACTGGCTCTCATGGTATATTCAGCACAAAAACTGTGCTTGTAGCAGGCCCGTGAAGAGCAGCTTTGGCCTGGCTTTACCTGAAGTCTGGGTTCCGCTGAAGGCACTGCCCTACGAAGTTATGGAAGCAGGTGGAGAAGGTCCGAAGATAAGGGTGTAGGGTTGACTCTCCGTTGGCTGCTCTCACATTGCTAACAGCCACGTTCTCACCCAGCCCATAGTTTGCACTTGAACGAGAGGTTTTCATAGTCAGCTCATCAGCAGGAATTGTGGTGGTGTCTAGCAGGCAGGGAACAGTTCCATTCAGCTTTTCCAAGAGCATCTGGAAGCGAAGGACATCAACATCCCACATACACACAAGCAACAATTAAAAATTCTCAGTAGATTTCTCATGTCCTCAGCATTTGGACATTACCATTCTGACACCAAAGCCTCAATACAGAAGCACTGCAATTCTCTAGAAAAAGCAGCAATGAGAAGGGAATTCAGGCACCCTCCTGCCTCCACAACCCAGAGCTGAAATGCACTTCTGCATGCTGAGATGAAAGAGTGAAAGATGAGCCTTTAAACCTTACCTGAGTGGAAGGCATGTCTTTAAATGGTACATGTCCATTTGCCAGCTCACAAGCTGTTATCCCTATGCTGTAAATGTCAGATTTTGCATCATATCCCTGAAGATTCTAGAAGAAAAGGGAAATAAAAATTGTAGGCTTGCAGTGCAGACAGGTGATGCCCATGATTTGCTGTGTAGAAGAACAAACAAAAATGATTTCAGCAGAAATTAGACAACCCACATATAGGACTGGTCTGTTGTTGTGGGTAGTTTTAAGGTAAAAAGTACACAGTAAGATGCTCATCATGCGCAAAAGCAACACTGGCTGTTGGTTTTACTTTTCCCAGAACATACCCTAAAACCTCAGGAAGTTATGCAGAGATAAGATGTATTACTGAGCACAAGCAGTAGTTGGTTTTTAAACATACCTGCTGCAGGACTTCAGGGCTGAGCCAAGGTAGGACTTTGATGCTGTATTTGGGAAAGTCATGAACAACTTTGAGGCGCTGCCCATGATTAATCATACTCAGGTTACTTCTCAGGCCAGAGAGGTACACCTTCCCATCTACAGAAATGAGGATATGGCTGGCTTTCACACTCCTTAAAAGAACAATAAAGATCAGTCAGGTTCTCTGTCCCCAAAGGTTTACATTCCTTACAGCATCCCCAGGAATGCTGCTAGCATAGAAGTACACTACAGAGGATTCAAGGCAGGAACACTTACCTGACCAACTTTGACAGTACGTACCATAAAAGGACCAACCACTGATAAGTCAGGATATTCAGTGTTTAAAATATAGTTTCACAATTAAAGGATAATATCAGAGAAAAGGAAAAATATGCTAAAGGCTGGAAATGGTAAACTAAGGAAGAGATTTTTAAAAGATTCAACCTTAACGAGCACTGATAGAAAGACTAAAAGCTTATCAAGAGATTCCTAACGGCCATCCTGAATACTGTGCAAAACTGCATACACAAACATCAACAGGACTCAGTTCACCCACTTTGCACTTCCCCCAGGGAATGTTTCTGTGGCAAGGAGAAACGCAGGACTAGAGGACTCGAGACAAATCTCTCCATACTGTCAGTCTCAATTCAGAGCCTTAGCAAGTCTGCCTGCCAACATGGCTGTCCTGACTTCACACAGACACTGGCCTTCAGGGTACAGAGGTAAGTTTGTTTCAGTAACACTTTTATTATTTTTTTTTTTACCTATGTACATAGCCCATATGGTGGATGTAGTCAAGTGCTTTCAATACTCCTTGGAGAATATATGCAATAGCCAACTCACTCATCCCATCCATGAAATGGGTACAGATTAAATCTTTTGCAGAACCTAAAATGAAACAAAACATCTCTTCATTGGTCAGAATAACAAGGATGTTTCAATAAAGATGTAACACCTCTTAAACTTCACTTTACACCTCTAAAACTTCATTTTACAGGATATGCTGCTCAGAATAAAAATACACCCTCTTCACTTACCATAGGCCATGAAAGATGTCACTACCCATAGCTCATTGTCAGCTATGAATGTTGCTTTGTATGGCACAATGTTAGGGTGGTTGAAGAGCTTGGAAACATGAAGTTCCCCCTGAAAGCAAAGAAGATATTTTGATTCAATTCAGCAAATGCAAAAATATGAATACAGTATTGACAAGCACTGTTCTTATCATCAGTTCTCTCCTAAACTTACACTATAGCATTACTAGGCATGTGTTACCTGCAAGAACGTGACCATTTCATTGGTGCAGGCTTCCAGGTTAACTCTTCTGACAGTGACATACTCCCCTGAGGGTTTATACCTGGCCAGGTTTACAACCATCAAGTCTTCAAAGCCTCTGCCTGAAATAAAAGGCATTCAAGCTTCAGTAATATTTCTGGAAGCACACAGTTCTAAAGAATTCCTCCAATCCTTGGCCCTTAAATAACCTTTATACTCATTTACTCAAACTATTTATGGCCTCGTGAGTGAAAGAAAGTAATTGTTCCATCAGAAGTCAACTCCCTTGGCATGTATCCCATTGATCCTAGCCAGTAAGTTAACATTATCCTGTCTTTCAAGCTCACAACTGAGGCAGAAATGATTCAACCACAGCCCCTCCAAGACCAGGGACAAGATTCAGGGTCTTTCTGCTGACTCTGTACTTCATACTCAGCATTGTTAATTCACCACCTTCCATTGCAAGCCTTTAGGATAAGCATCTCAGTTTTATCAAAGTGATTTTAAAATCAAAGAGGAATCATAGAATCACAGAATTGTAGGGGCAGGAAGGAACATCTAGAGGTAATCAAGTCCAACCCCCCTGCAAAGCAGGCTCCCTAGACCAGGTTACACAGAGGAAGAGTGTTCTAATGGCAAAAAAAAACCCCAAGCAACTCATCAACACGGACAATAAATCTGCAGGGTGTTGTTTTTTTTTTTTTTTCTGTAAAGCAGACTTCAGTTCTCCACCCCAGCAGTAATATTACCTATGATAGTGAGCAACTCATAACAGCTGCTGTCTGGGAGGAAGTTGCTCATGGTGTCCCTTTTATGGGATGAAGCTATCGACTCGGAGCTCGCCTCATTTGTCTGGGGAGAAAAAAAATAAAGTCAGCTCAGAAGAAATAAAGATCAGGTGCTGGTAAAAATCATCTGCTCCTTATATTATTGTACACAATAAAACAACAAACTAGAGGAGATAATTTAACTGCTGTTAAAATAATACTGAACAGTTAAATGTCAGTTGAAATCCAGGAGATGCCTCATTTCAGAAGGTCCAGACATCTGTGTTTTAAACATGTAACTACAAAATGTTTACTCACTTTAAGCTAGGATGTCTTCAGAAATGTTTGGACAAGGCCAATTACTGTTCCCCTGAACAGTTTAAGCACTACTTTGTAGTAACTATCTTTCTTTATTTACATTCTTGCCTGAGCAAAGGCCATGGAAGCACAGAACATTTCCAGTATGCTGCCCTGTGGCACTCAGCACTCCTGCCTGATGCTGGGGCTCTGATGCTTGCTGCATTAAGACCAGCACAGCTGAAGCTACTGAGCTGAATGTAGAAGTGATGAACCAAGTCAGAGAAGGTATGAAGGTCAGCATGAAAAATAAAGCTCCAAATGAAAGCAAAAATTCAGCTGCAAAGAATTAGTGCTTACAGGAGAAAAAAAAAGACCTCACACCACACAAGGAATCAGCACTCCCAAACCTGCCAGCTTTTCTTTGCTACTTCTAATATGAAGCTACCTGCTTTATTTACACACCTCTTTTCCAGCAGCATTCTGCATGAGACAAACTGCAAGGCTCTTGCAAGTTCCTCTATACCTTGCAGCTCCCTTGAATTCCCAAAGTCACAAGGAATGCATCTTAATGGGGATCCAAATTGATTTGGTGTCTAACAGCAAATTTAGTTATCTCCCACTTCCAGCACATTAACTCTTGCTGACATTTGGAAGCACAGCTCATTTCTTCCACCTCGTTCTTCATCAACTGCAAATGCCCTTTATCAGACCTTTTCTTATGGCACATGAAATAGAAAGGGCTCATGCATTTTCCTACTGTGACAGTGAATACTCTTTTATTCCCAAGACAGTGACATGCCCTGCTCTACACTCAGGAAAGGGTAAATGTAGCACACAAGCACAGGCATCATTTACCATAAATCACCTTTGGCTCAGTCTGAGGATTCAGCTCCTGAGAAGCTTTCAGCTGCCCCTAAATGTACCCTGAGGGTAAGCTACATGTCAGGCTTCTTAACTTCCAGCTTTGCAGCTGATTTCGAAGAACATTCTACCTCTCTGTGTCCACCTTAAAAATAAGTGTTAATTTCAGCTATGGGCAAAGGTGAAACTCAGTTTTGTGAACAGTGCTATGATGCAATTTCAGCTCAAACAGCTGCAGCACAGCAACTCAACTGGTGTCTGTTTCAGGGTAAACAACCCCTCCAATCTCAACAGTTCTAAAACCTTCGTTCCAGCCACAGCACCACACAGTGCTGCAGCCTGGCTGTGGACACTGAATGGAAAGTTACTGCCTATCTCAAACCTGTGGTAAAGGTTCTTGTCAGTTCTGACTTTCACTGCATCATTAATTATTTCTTCCATCAATTTCACACAGTCCTGTCAACGTCAAGACTTGACACACAGGCAGATTGAAACCTCTGAAGCAAAAAGGCACCACCAAGGAAGTGAAAGCAGAAGGCTCTGATAGCAGCATTATGGAGCAATGGCAGCAGGTGAAACACTCAGCAGTATGTAAGTGGTTTGCTTTATTCAAGTCCACTCCAGATAGAGCATAAGCCAACAAAACAGATGCAAAAATTAAATATCTTAGTCATGGTTCAGGCTGTTTCAACAGCAATGGAAAAAAAAAAAGAATGTAAAATCTCTTTTTAGAGGTCTTCATCAGAGGTCCTCACTCACCTGTCCTCATGTTAGCAGTGACCAATAACTGAGAGTTAATGCAAAAGGAGCTCCACCAGAAAATTATCAATGTGGGACAAGAGTTGGAAAAAAAGAAAGTTAAACTGAAATGTCACTTATGAAATACTGCAAAAAAAGAAAAAAAACAACACTCCTTGGTGGTTTCACACAGGACAGCTTTTGGTGTATGGTTAAAAGCAAAAGCAGCCGCAAAATGAAGTCACATGTAACTTGCTATATGGCATGACTTTCATGAATAGACAGCTTTCAGCCTCATTGATCAGGTTTTAATTGGAAATAAGTTTGATGAAACTGATCTAAGATAACCACTGTTATAAATGCCATGTGAAAATGAGTTATGTGATGCCAGCAAAGATCTGCCTTTGCCAAATCACATTCATCTGAAGCAGAAAGGGGGAACATTGCTTTTGTTCTGCTGCCTTTCTCATCACCTCCTTATTCCTTCACTCCATCTCATTCCCTTCCCCCATTTCTGTAAAACCATGTGAGAAAAAGAAAGCTTTCATTTAGCTGTAAAAATAAAAATAAGTCACCAGTACCCCTTCTTTGTCCAAAAATCTGAGTATTTTAACAAAAACAATACAGATGCTCATCTCAGTGTTCTCCCAGTATAGCATAAGGTGTGAATGTACATGACTTCACACAAAACATTCCATGAGCTGTATATTTTCAGCTTTGTTTGTGCCAGTAAATGACAGATAGCGGCACAAGATTAATTATCAGCAGCCTGAACTGACACAGTTACAATCAAATCACACTTAATTCCTGTTAGTAATTAGCTTAAACTAAAGCAACAGCAGCACACAGAGATCTATAAATGTGTTGTGAGCAGGTGGGCAATAATTTAGAGATTTATCTTGCCATGAAATATGTTATTCTCTGAGCACTGCTCATCATGAACTGTGCTGTGTCTCATCAGGGTCTGCAGAACAAAAAGCAAAGGCAGAGTTCTCAGCAGCTCTGTTTGGCTGTATGGTTTTGAGCAGAAACTCCACGTTCACAAATGGCTTTAATTTTTAGGAGGCAAAGCTCTGTGCGTGTGTGCAGAGAATTGGCTCTAAAGAAGACCAGGCACTGGGAGGTCAAGTCAGCTCAGAATGAAAATTACATATTACTGATGTAACTGCTCTCCAGAGGAAATAAAGGAAATCAAAAACAATGTGTTCAGAAGGGAATATGGCTTAGAACAACAGAATAATAATAAATTAGGGCTGTTTTCAGAAGTCTTGCAAGCTAACTTCTTCCATTTATTCTGAAACAGTTCAGAGATCAGCATCACTCAAAAATCAGATCTTCATAATCCCAAAACTCGTGTGGGTGGGTGGGGGACCAACCCCTACCACTAATCCAAGAGAAGAAGTTTCAACTTCCAGACCTGTCACAAAGTTTGCAAACCATACACCAAAACCTCCATGCCAGGGTGAAACCCATCTCCACACTTGCAGAGCTACGTATAGAGATGAAGTAATAGAACTAAGGTAAAAAGGAAAAAAAAAAAAAAATCAAACTTCCACAAGGATAATCTCCATGCAATGAACCACAGCACCACAGCCTGCAAACGCCACTTACTTTTCTCCTAGAGTCACCCGGAGGCTGCTCTGGAGTAAAGAAATTCATTGTTCACCAAGTTGTGTTCAACAGACACCCATTCAAAATAGTTGGAACATAACTGAGTGCATGACCCCACGATACTTATTGACACCAAATAGCTACAAATATATATTCTTACACAAATAGTTAATTAACAGATAAGGCTGCTGTGTTACAAGTAATCAGACAGTTGCACAAGAATGGGAATCAAAGGGATTCAGTAGTGCTGCTGTTTATATTCAACATAAAAGCAAACTGATACTTAAGAAATGACACTGATATTTAGCTTGAATAGAGAACAAATCATCTAATGTTTATTTGAAGCAGAAGCTCAAAGATCTATAGATACATCTTTCCTATACTAAATCACCAATCAAGATTTCTGCATCCTAGTATAATATTCTGCTTGTTGCACACAGAGCAGACCAGAAACCAATTAGCTCTCATACAGGCAATGCTATGGAGCCATCATAACAGTTTCAAACTCATTTTTACGCCATTTACCTTCTCAAACCTCTGTGTTTTACTTTCACCCAAAAGCGGTTAGGCTAAGAAATCCAGATTGCAGTGTCTGCAAACAGAACTGCCATCAACGTGGAACTGATCTCCAAATGACTTGTTGGGTATTTCTGTGTTAACTTTACATTGCTAGTCAGCCTGAACAACCAGATTTGGTGCTACAACCAGATGTATCCACCTCTTTTACTGCTAGATAGATATTTTCTATCAAATTAACAGGCCCGGGGGCTACAATAAGACATTTCTAGAAAGATCACTTAACGAGAGGAAAACTTACCTCCAAATAGTTCGAACTCCCTCAAGCCCTCAACAATGAACTTTTCGGACACCCACCGCTAAGAAAAAAGAAATCCCCCCAATAATTGGTTACTTCCTTTAGAGACAAACCACTCCCCTTCCCTCCCACACCCCTAAACAAAAGCAGAATCGTAACACTTCAACAGTATTACTGTGTCTATAACCCATTAATTACAACCACCTCACTATGGACAAAGATATTGGTTTTGTTGGCCACTAGGATGGCACGCATGCAGCAAGCACACACGTGTCACTGCACCTCCTGAATGGCATGCACTCACAATAAGGTTAATGTTAGATTATTCAAACAAGAGCTTTCACGCATGCACACAGAGCAAAAATAATAAGCATGCTGTGCTCCCTTGTATAAAGACATAAATGTTTGGGTGCAAAAATCAGCGTTCTTACAAAGAGACAACATCTCTGAGCATTGTGGCTACATACTATCTAGGTGCAAAATTAAAACAAGTATTGCAGAAGTGCTGTTCTCTTCCAGAATTCATGCTTAAATGTCAGAGCAAGCATTGTTGGTGCAGAGATACGCTTCTACCATTCTATTTGACTCCGTGATTCAAAGAAATGCAGAACAGAGAGTAGAAAGCACAGCATTAGGCTTGCAATGCTGACTGCCAGGTTAGCGTTAAGCAATCACAAGCAGCCCCGTGTCAGAAAGCGGCAATAAAACAAGGAAAAAACGGATTGTGTCGTTCAATGCAAGCAAGGGCGGTCCTGGAAAGCAGCGCTCCGTGGGTGACGGTGACCGGACATCACACAGCGATCACAGCCGCCGCGCTGTAAGCCGTTAGAAGTGCTTTTCTCACGTGACGCCGATTGTTCGACACCTTAAAGCGCGGAATTAACAGCGCCGCCGTTTGGTTTCCCAAACGTTCGGTTCGGAGAGCGCACGGGCGGAGCCGCACAGGCGGTGCCGGGCCTTCCCCAGCTCCCCTCGTCCCGAACGCTCCGCACGGCCAGCAGCGGGGTTTTAACGCGGCTGTTAGCGCGGTTCCCGTGACCCCGGGCGCGGTGCTTTCCATACGGCCCCGAGCAGGCCGCGGCCCGGTTTACCGGCTGAGGGGAGCTGGACGCCGTTTAACACTCACCCTAATCCGTTCGGGTTTACTTACAAGAAAAGACATGGACTCCGCGATCGCGCTACCTCACGCAGCACACGCAATGAACTGCAACCTAAGGGACGAGAGCGGTTGTTCGCCCGGCCCGGCCCCGCCCGCGCCTCCCGCAGCCCCCGGCCCTCACCTTCTCTTCAGGCTGCGCCCACCTCGCACCGGTAGAGACGCTGCGTGTGACGTCAGCACGCAACCACGTGACGCAGGACGTCTCGGCGCGCGTCTATGACGTCGTTTCGCAGGCCCGCGCGCGCGCATAAGAAAGGCGGGAATCAGAGGGCGCCGCCATGTTGGTTCTCCTCTGGGAGTGGCCGAAGTCTCTTAGCACGGTTGCTCCGCAACACTGCGGAACGGTGCTTTGCTCCAAGAGGCAAAGCCTCCATCATTACCATATCGAACGATACGCTTTGCTTTGGCTGCTGGCCCTGACTCCACACCTACCTCTCACCCCGCGGCTGATTCACATCACTGTCCCCACATCCCTGCTGAGGTAACATCAGCTGTAGTGCCTGAAAAAAAAAAGCTGCTCGAACACAAAACAAACACTGAGCCCTCCCCCGGGCACCAGAGATTTTGAGGTGCCGTTAGCTGAGAGGAACATGGAGTCCAAAGCAAAGAAGACAGGTGGAGTGTTTCAGTGATCCTTTACTTTTCATTAGGTAGTTCATCGAATGTTCAAATTACAAAATTAGCTGCCGTGGGACTTGGGGAAAGCTGTCCGCTTCTTCAAGAGAGCACAAACCATATTTCTTTTCAAATAACCTTTTGAAACACAATCATATTAAATCTTTAAAGCTAAATAGTGCTAAAATTTCACGTAATCTACATTAGTTTTGGTTTTAAATTAACTTTACCAATCATTATAAAATTTCACATATTTGCATGGATCAGGTTACAGACTTTTGCATTTAAATCCATGTGAAGTACCCCACGCTGGAACAAGAGCTTTAAGTAAGTGCTGTTTCAACAGCAGATCATTCTTATTGCCTAAGAACAAAGTTTGCACAAATCATTGAACAATAAAATGCAAGACACTGTTTCCCCACAAAACTGTAACAAGTCTGTCACAGCAACAATATAATGCCTTCTGGACTGGAAGCATTTATAAAATGCAGAGCTCCCTCAGTGAAGTGCTTGCACAAGGGCATTCACTTCCCCCCATTTATACTCAAAAACCTGAAATGACTGCTTATCAGACAAGACGTCCTCTGGAACATTTTCACTTTCTTGGGGAAACTGGCAATTGCAGATACTTCACCGAATCTAGCTTCTTGCTGAAGTGAATTAGGCAGCAGCTGCTAAGACCAAGAGAAGTGTTCTTGAGGCAAGTTTTTACAGTTAAAATATTCCAGGAAGGCTAGTTGAAGCTGCTCGACTCACCATGCACTCCTAAAGAAACGCCACGCTGACATTACAATTTTACATTGTATTAAAGTCATAGCATTCAAAACCACAAGTAGGAAACGATGCTCACATACTCCATTCCCTGGTATCTAACCATCTATGTTACCTATCATGCCTACAGGTGAACCAGTACCTTATTTGTATAGAAAAGAAAAATAATTTCTGTTCTACTGGGCTTAAATCCCTGAAGTATCCATATTGCGTATGGAAGGCTTTAAGTTTTGTGCCTTTAAAAGCTTGATGCAAATAAATGCACAGTAAATGCTTGTTGTGCAGTTTTCCTCCCCTTAATTTAAGAAATCCTCCCTTCCTTCCTAATAGCTAAAACCAAAGTTTAAAACCAAAGCATTAATGTTACCAGCACACATGGACATGTTTACAATCTCACGTTTTTGAAGAATAAATGACAAAGAGCATTCAAGAATATTGCATTTTCTTTCCAAACAGACAAGTAGCAAAAAATTTATACCACCTGGAATAAAACTGCTGAGACAAAGCTCTGTACATAAACCTGCAATGTTGCTGTAATACTTAAGTAAGTAACACCAATGCAGGGAACATTTCCCTTAATGGCTAGTAGTGTTCAAAGAATTGTAGGACTATGGAGTTAAGTAGGTCTTTGCACCCCATGAATTCAAATTCTGCAGGTGGCGATGAGACAGGCTTCTCACAGTGAAGTCACATAGCTTTCACTTTGATTTGCTTCATCTTCATCTGCTTCTTCTCAAGTTTCTTCTGTTCACGCCGCAACGCAGCTTCCTGTAGGAAAGGACACAGAGATCCCAATGAGCAGTGATCTAGCCCAAGAACAAGCTTGCCATTTCAGAAAAGCAGGACAAAGGAGAAACCTTCAGTACTATGCTTGGGGTCACATCTCTGACCAGGTAAGCTGGTTCCCCATTGACAGCCTTCACACATTTCAGAAAGTAGGAGAGCATACACTGAAAGTGTATGATGGCCTCCAGCGAAATGAGAAATGAAGTCAGGCACTGCTGCTGGTAATGCCTACAGGTAGCCCTGGAGATACTGCAGGAGAAATGTGCCAGTAGTTTGTAACAGTCTGAAAATCCACCTCCACCTCACCTCCAGCCGCCGCTGTTTTTCTGGATCCTCCTCATTCATGATTCGCTCCTTCTCGGCTCGTTTCTTCTCCTCTCGACGGGACTGAGCGGCTTCCTGTCTCTGCACGTGAGTCAGTTTAAGGAAGTTCTCCTCCACACGGGCCCTGTTCTTATCAGCTTTCTGCTTACCCTTTTCACAGAGAAAAGCAAAGGCAGTTAACAGAGATTCCCCGTGAGCAGAGTGGAGTACCTGTGGTAGTTATACTGGAAAGACAAGACTCCTGCCTTTAAGATTACGGATCCAATGTTAACATTTGGAGTTTATATGATTTTCAGAAGGCAAAAACCATATGCCACTTACCTCTCTGTTCAGACGGAACTTCTTTGCTTTGTCAATAGAGTAGATAACCATGCTCATCAGAGGCAGCAAAGACTCCATATCCTTTGGGGAAGTATTGCCTGAACCAGGCACTGAAACAGAGAGTTAACAGGTAACTCAGAGATTAGCAGAATTTTTCTATTGGCTGTAATTCTCTTTATTGTTCATGCCATTAATGAAAAAGATATTCTTGTCCACTGCCTTCTATTTACTGGCTAATCAATCAGTGATCCTGTTTACATGCAGTGAAGGCATTTGTAACATCATCTTCAACAGGTGAAGAAACTCGAGCATATGACTAGCAGAGATAAAGCACACCACCACTCAGACACACAAACACGTGTAACACACATACGGTTCTCTTACCATTAAATGTAAACAAAAGTGTCTTTTTAGTTTCGGGCAGTTTTGTCAGCTGACCCTCCCTGGTAGGAAAGAAAAAGTTACTGAAATGAGTGAAGAATAAGGACAGGCACACAAAACGTCTGCCACTGTCAGGGAATCACATGAACCAAGAGACACTTGCAAAGTACACACAAGATTAAAATAAACACATTTAAGTTTCAGACTACCCAGATTCCTGAACTATTTTACTCAGTTCAGGATTCTAATGCAACAAAGTCAAACCTATATTTCACAGAGCCTTCAAAGCTTAGCCGTTTCAGTACAAGACACTGCCTTGCCTTATAATTAAATCAAAGTACATTCCTTTTTTAGAGGACAGTTTCAAGTTCTGATATGGATCATTTATTTATATGCTTGTGAGCAAACCACACCCTTGCAAAAAGCCTCCCTGGTGATTATGATGGTACGATAAAGCGCCCACTGCTTGGTAATTGTGAAGCAGCAGTGAAAAGTACCCAAGACAAGGCTCAGAGAAACAAAACATACTGCACCTGAGTAATTTTGAAACTCATCTCAGAACTGGAACAACAGTACTTAAGCAGGTTTTTGTTTGTTTGTTTTTTGTCTTTTAAACTGCAGACTTTGCTCAAACTGAGCCTTCAGTGCATTCAGATACTATCTGAATGAACATGTGCTTTTTCAACACTCTTCCTGCAGCATTATTTACTCCTGAACTCTTGTCCACCTTTAGTGGGATTACTCAATTGTTTTCCATGCAGCTGTGTACACTGTATCAGCCAGGTGTTATCTAAGATTGGGAGCTGCCCAAGCTATAGAGTAACCAGCACACAAAAATAAATATTTAAGGCAATACAACACCTTCAACTTCTAAATTAATGCAGCATTTGGAAGTACTGGGAGTGTATTTATTCAGCTGTTTCACCTTTGCTCCCAGTTTATGTGCATTCCAGCCAGCAGCACACTGCAGACAAGTTTGTCAGCTTCTACTTTGCTCTGTGTTACAACAGCTACTGGAAGGGGAGATCAAGCTTTATACGTACTCTTGCATAAGTTTTGGACCGGAGAACTGGTCCGAGAATTGGACGGACTCGATCTTGTCAGCATAGTGTGTGAGGAAATGTATCATCTGAAAGGGAAACTGGCGTTAGTTTTTCTAGCACCAACACCTTTATCCACCTACACGCTCCATATTGACTTGTCAGGTTGTCCACATATCACTCAGAAAAGGTTTGTGCTCTGCTTGCCACATGACACCACAATTTAAACTATCAGGTTTTTTAGCCATTGCAAGAATGGGCCTCAATGCCTGAAATCAACATGAGCAACTCAGGAGTTACTACATATTTAATTCTCATTTGGGATTTGCTATTTCATCTGACAACAACTTTAACACTGAGGGCTCAGGGACAGACTAATGCCCTCCTTTCATCTGGCTTGAACTAACTTGCAAGTTTTGAAAGGAAGTTTCAAGTCCTCAGTTCATAGGTTAGACTAACAGTTGCTATGTAAAAACAACAAAGTGACAACTACACCCTTCTTCCAGCCCTTACGTTTCTTTAAGGTCTTGATTTTTCTAGATGTCACTAGGGCCTTATAGTTCTATTGTGATTTTTAAAGGTGATTAAGGTCAGGATTTTTGTACAGGCTGCAAGTGCCAGGAGCACCAAGGAGTATTTGCATACTTCACCCAAGATTACCTTTGCGTCCATCATTCCCTCTGTGACCTCCCCCATCTCCGACAAGATAGCCAGGGAATCTGGAAGCCCATACTTTGCACCAGACTTGGGTTTATCACTACAGAACTCACTCTAATGCAAACAGAGGAAAAAATAATAAGAATAATATAAGCATGCAAATAGCTTATCACAGCAAACTGTTCAATCAGAACAGGACCCCTAGAAGTATCTGATAAGAAACAACAACAACAAAAAAAAGGATTAATTCAGTCATTCTGCCTGGCTGATGACATTCTAAGCATGAAGTACAGCATGCAGAATCAGTGCATGTAGTCTAAGTCAGTATTTCCCTTCAGTAGTGAGTGCTGCAAGGAAAAATGAAACAACTGTAACACATCCATGCCAGAACATCTGACACAGATTAATGCATTTGGTGTATTTTGTTTGATACAACAACTAAACTACTGGTATCCTGCCAACCACACCTCAGTGCTGTTATTTGGGACATTAAGAGAGATTTGCAAATCACTGGTTGTTATTACTGGATTCTTTGCAAGCTTCAAAGCTTGAATACTTGGGAAGCTTTCTTGTATTCAGACTAGGTAAAACATGATCCAAGATTTTCCACACCAAGTATCACTAATTAAGTTTACTTTTCAATCCTTAACCAAGTCTTTTGTGCAAATTACACGGGGTGAAATGAGACGTGCATGTATCCTGACAGCATACTCCAGCCTCCTCCTAAACAAACAGATTCAAAAAAATAGGATGTAAGAACTTCTATCTTATTATTCCAGCATGAGAGCACATACCAGGTCCTGCATCTCTTTCTGAAGTCGCACCAGTGCTTTTCTGGTTCCAACAGCAAACACGTAGGTGTCCATATCATCATCATTCATTGTTACTTTTATTTGCTGCAGGGCAGAAAGTATTTAGCCTTGATCAGATTTCTAAATGCACTCTATCTTCATACCACCAGCCAAAAGGAGACCCCCATCTCCACTCCTGCTCCTTCAGTGTTTGACTGACATTTTGATTCTTATTTCATAACCGCAAAGAACAAAGCACAAGGAAGGCCATACGCTGCTGAGATAAAGGTTGTTAAATTAGAATTTCTCAGTGTGTCTTAGGGAAAGGTAGCTTTTAATTTTTTTTGAGCATTCAGTTCAGCATTCCAGTATAATGCTACATCGTAATGACAGTGATCTCAACAGAAGAGCTGTAAGCCTCCTTTGTGGAGCAGACATGCATTGCTCATGAGCATCAGCCCACACCTGAATTCACTATTTTTAATGGATAAAAGCAAATACAATTATAGATACATAGAAAAAGTATTCACAGCACGCAAAGCTACTGTTGTAAGAAAATGTAATCTCTTGGCATTTCTGTGGTTAGAAATTCCCCTCATCTCCAAGAGCAAGGGACAAGGCAAACAGTGACTTCACAAATCAGAACATGCGTGCCAGCGTATGCATTAAAACAGCTCTGTTCTGGCTGACTGGACTGACAAAGGAACAATTATTTCAGATTGTAAAACCACATTTTATCAAAATGAGGTCTTGAAGCATGACAGACTCAATAAAATCCACAGAGACAAAACGCTGTCATCACCAGTTTGCATTTTACCGTCAGAAAAGAAACATGAATAATTCCTGCAGATTGTTCCATGAGATACTGAACTGTAAGGTGCAGAATACCATGCAAAGACACCCAGCAGTGCATTTGTGGGCTACTGACACAACAAAAAGCAGCACAGCCACACCAAAGGAAGGCATCCATTCACCACAGCTAATCTGAAGGGGTGAGTACATACCACTTGGTCACAAGCTGGCCTCATCACGCGCGCAAGAACGTTCAGTAGGTCTTGCCTCTTGAGAAACTAGAAACACAAGATTTTCAACTCAGAATATTGATAGATATATTTAGAATGAAGATCTTCATTGGCAGACAGTAGTGGAAATTAAGGAAAAACAGGGCAGTTTTAAGTCAGTGTTTTTTTATAGAAGAACATAGCTTTGATGAACACTTTGGAAGCCGCTCATACTGCTCAAAAACGGGCCCATATTTTGCATTTGATCGAGTCACTCAGGGCCTTGTTCTCTCAAATTATTTGCTGAATTAATGTGTGGGACTGTCCACCCCAGTGCAGGATACTGTCTTTGCTAGACTTCACTGAGACACCTGCTGATCTCTGCTCAAGTCCCTTTGAACGGCAGCTGGACTCTCCAGCACATACTGTTTATACTTCCTGCTTCCTACACTTTAAGTATTTCCTTTGACCAACTTCAGTAGGCAGAATACAGGACTGTCTGGCCAGCTTTCCCTTCCCATGTGCATATCCAGAACTCTGCCTCTCAGTCTGAGACAAAGCACAGCCCTCCTTGTTGCTTGCAATGGAAACTGAAATCTGGCAACAACTAAGCTGTCATTCTCACCTTGAGCTGGATGAGCATTCCTTCGCAGCACACCCTTCCAGAGCACCACAAGTTATATATGTGTTCATTTTCTTGATTTAGTTTCCCAGTGCTTGTAGCTTCTTTATTAGTGCCATCATCCCCTAAAGAGAACAGGAGTGAAAGATAACTGCCCACACATTTATACACCAAGTGTCGACAACAG